GATCAGAAAAGTCCTCAGCTTTTATAATGGGAGTGTTGTAATTTTTTAAGGGACTTTATAATACTCCATAATTAAAACATTTTAGTTGTTTCTCGGGTTTTGCTTTTATCCACAACGCTGTACTCCTAGGACATGTTCTTATCTGCTTAGATTATTAGATTACAAATCCAGCAGAGGTATCAGCTCATCACTTAGGCCCCAGAGGGCAGTTGAAAGATTATTTGTTGAGGTAGAAAAGGCTTTAAAATGTGTATAGTTGTTTATTAGAACACTTGCTTAAAATTTTATACCTTTGCACACAGTCCCAAAACTCCTCTCTAATTACAGGGTTGGACTGCCCTCCTTGAAGGCTCTCCAGGAGACCTATTTACCCCCTTGACTGCTGCAGACAGGTCACTTGCGCTCAGCACCTTTAGCGCTTATTAGCATTAGTACTTGGTATACAGTAGGTACCAACTAAATATTTTTTAAATGCACCCGTTTTACCACATCTTTACTAGCTCAGGACATTATCACACTTCTTAACCTTTTTCAATCAGGTATATTAAATATTTTCCTCTTTTTTAATTGTTAATTTTTTTGTTATTAAAATTACGCATATCTATCCTGTGTGAATTTGTTTACCAAGTCTGGGATTTGTGTTAAGTACATTGGGTCTTTTGCAGTTTAGAAAATGTTTATTTTTAGGTAGTATATCTGTCAGTCTGTTTACACTTCAGTTTAGTTCAGTTGCTCAGTTGTGTCTGGCTCTTCGTGACCGCATGGACCACAGTATGCCAGGGCTTTCTGTCCATCACCAACTCTCGGAGTCTACTCAAACTCCATGTCCATTAAGTCGGTGATGCCATCCAGCCATCTCATCCTCTGTCGTCCCCTTGTCCTCCTGCCCTCAATCTTTCCCAGCATCAGGGTCTCTTCGCATCAGGTGGCCAAAGTATTGGAGTTTCAGCTTCAGCATCAGTCCTTCCAATGAACACCCAGGACTGATCTCCGTTAGGATGGACTGGTTGGATCTCCTTGCAGTCCCAGGGACTCTCAAGAGTCTTCTCCAACACCATAGTTCAAAAGCATCAATTCTTTCACTTAAGTTTTCTAAATTCTGTTAATCTGCCCTTTCTCCATTCATTTGAAATGGTACTTTTACCACATATAAAATTTCCACATATAAATGAAGCAAATTTGGAACTTCAATTTCTGTTTTGTCAGTTTTTTTGTCTGCATCTTAGCCAATGTCACATGAATTCAATCCTGTTAGCTATCTAATAATTGTGAAATCTGGGGGTCTAAAGTTCCTCTCTTTCCCCATTATTCCTTTATTTTTTTCAAAATTTTCTCAGCTGTTCTCTGTATTTACTTTTCCAGACACTGTTTAGAATCAAATTTATTTGTTTCCTGCTAAATTCTTTGATATGAACTGGCATAACAGATCTGGCTTTAATATTTTTCTTTTTGTTTTCGACCTAAGTTTTATATTCTTAATTTTCCTTTACTGTTAAGTTTCAAATTGAGGTCAACTTATTCCCTAACATTCATCATCTTTTTTTTGATATGTTTCTTGCTTCACTGTTATTTGCATGTTTTTGGCTTTTTTGCTCCTCACCCAGTGTATCAGAGATGATCTCATCTTAAACATTCAGCAACCCTAAGATTATTATAAAAAAAAAGTCATCTGAGAGTCAGGCAATTTCAGGGCTGAATTCATCTTTATATGGATTCGTGATGTGTCCCCCTCCTGCCCAGGACTGAGTGCATGGCACATGTTTGTCAGTTACAGTTCTTCCGCCTAGAATCACAGATTAGTACTGCTCTCCAGTTAGGTGAATTTTTAAGCAGGTGAATAACCACATTTGGGGAGTTTTGATGATAACCTCAATCTTTAGCAACAGATAAGATATGCATATTACACGAAAGATCAGTTGAGCAGTTAGAGAGTAAGGACACTTTGATTATACCAATTGCTCAGTCATGTTTTAAAAACAATAAACAAAGGACCGGGTGTGTAAACTTTTTTCACCTGTTAAAAAGTAACAAAAAATACAGTTTAGGCTACATTACGGGAAGTATGGCATCCAGGTTAGGAAGGGTAATAGATCCTATCTGTACAAGTCAGTTTTTATTGTTTTGTGCACCTCTTTTATGCTAGGAAAAACCAGGCACTTGAATACACAGACACCACAATCTCCTTTACAGTAGAATTTCAAGTAAATAGTAGATTTTATGAAAACCCAGGAGAAGAGCGTAAAGGCTAGAGACACAGAGAGCAGAAGCTCTAGAGCCTGTAGGACCTTGTATAAATTATTTAACCTCACTCTGTCTTAATTTCTTCATGGGTAAAATGGAGTCAGTAAAAATATACTTCACACTTTTGTCTTAAGCAGTAATGAGATGATGTATATGTGGAAAGCCTCTGGAACACACTTTGGCACATAGTCATGGCTCAGAAAATAGCATGGAGTGCTATTTTGAAATGCTGAAAGGTAGGAGTTGTCTCAGTAGAAAGAGACTTCCCACCAGAAGGAATTGTGTGCCCCAGAGTTGGAGTGGTTGACCTGGGTGGGGCCTTTCTGGAACTGCAGGGAATTTAATCTGATTGGAGTGGAAGGTGCATGTGGAAGGAGTAGCTAAGGACGAAGCTTCCTAGGGAGGCCGAGATCTCCAGGCGGGAGCTTTTGTGCCATGTTAAGGAGTGTGAAAGGCATTTAGAAAATGTTATGGAACCTCAGAAATGCCTTAGATAGGGAGTGTCCACAACAGTTTCATCAGTGGAAAGACTGGTTCTTCACGGATGTGCAGATACGCCAGGAAAGCCATTTGAGCTAAGATAGCCAGTCGGGGAAGTGGTGCTCAACCCTGGCTTCACCTAGGAGCTTCCTGGAGAACTTTCACAGTCTGATGCCCAGGTTGACTCCAATTATATCAGCAGCCTGGGGGTGAGACCCAGACATTGGCGGTTTTTTATTGCTTCCCAGATAATTTCACTGCACAGCCAGGGCTGTGAACATCTATATTAGAGAAGTAACTGCATTCAAATGAGATTTGATAAAGTTCCAAATTAAACAAATGCCGGCAACATAAAGGAGCCAGGGTAAGGAGATAACAAGTAGGATGTGGTGGTTGGTTGAATGAGGAGGGCGTTGATGGTTTCTGATTTGGGTAGCTGGTGCGTGATGATCTATACCAAGAAGGAGAAGCAGATTTGGGTACTGGTCCTTGCTGAGTGGGCATGAAAAGGGTAAGGAATTTGATTTTTTTTAAGCTTTTTATTTTTGTATTGGAGTACAGTCGATTAACAATGTTGTGATAGTTTCAGGTGGACAGCAGGGGGACTCGGCCGTACATACACATTTATCTATTCTCCCCCAAACTCCTCTCCCCTCCAGGCTGCCACATAACACTGAGCAGCGTCCCGTGCACAGAACAGTAGGACCTTGTTGGCTCCCCATTTTAAATGTAGCAGTGTGTACATATCCATCTTCAACTCTCTAAGTATCCCTTCCCCCAGTCCTCCTCCCCAGCCCCCCAACCCCTGCAACCATAAGTTTGTTCTCTGAGTCTGTGACTCTGGTTTGTAAATAAGTTCATTTGTATTGTTTCTTTTTAGATTCTGCATAGAAGAGATGTCATATGATTAAAGAATTTGATTTTGAAATGTAGAATTTGAAGGAAATGATATAAGAAACGAGGGGAAGGAGCCAGTAATATACTTGAAAACTCAGAAGACAGAGGAAATAATTGATGTGAGAGTTCCCTGAGAAGACAGGAAGTACAGAGCAGACATGAAAGAAGTAATTTATATGAGAATCTTCCTCTCTGAGAGAAATAAGTAAAAAAATTTGAGGGTGCAAGTAAGCTCACAGGCTGAGGAAGAGGAGCCGTAATTCAGGCTCATGACCTGAGCTCCTTACTGCAGGAGATCTGCTGAGAACTAGGAGATGAGAGCAGGGCTTCAGGAGTTGGGCAGGCTTTGTGGAAGCTAACAAAGGGCCATCTGAGGATGGTGTCTTTCTGGTCCTACACTTAAATGTTGATTTTTTTCCCCAGAGTTTCAGTGTTGACCCTCTTTCACACACTTCCTGTGTGATCTCATTTGTTATGTTGGATTCCACTGTTATCTTCTGAGAGAAATATTGATAAACTGAAGTTTGTCCAGAAAAGTTATGTATTAACAGTTGACACATTCAGAAAATTATTGGTCGGCTTTTCCTTTGGAGGGATAGCATTTTGATACCTTAATTTGAAATTTAGTTTGTTGAGATCACTTGAAGACACTAAAGATCCAAGTAGTTTCCACCATCAGTAATTTGGTAGCATTATATTTGTTTTTCCAGTATAACAAAAATTTCAAAAACTGGCTAACTCAACATTTTGAAACCATGTTAACTTTTAATATTAAAATTTTGTTTTATACTATAAAAAATTTTAATAGATATTTATTTTATGTCATGTTATACTTCATCTCTTTGTTGTTGTGTTCTGTCATTTATAATCAAGATCTAACTGGGACCTCAACTGTGATATAAACTATGATTTACATTATGTACTCATAAATATTTTTTCCTCTAGAAAACCAACTGAAGGTTTAGTGATTATCAGATAGACTGAACTATGTATTTTGCAAATTTATTTTGCTAATTCTCACTACAACAAAGCAGTAGTGTGACTTTTCTATGTGCCTTCTTGTTCATAACTTGATAAATTACTTAAGCGCAAATGTGGGCTTCTCAGCTGGCTCGGTGGTAAAGAATCCGCCTGCCAGTACGGGAGACACAGGTTCAGTCCCTGAGTTGGGAAGATCCGCTGGAGAAGGAAATGACAATCCACTCCAGTATTGCCTGAAAAATCCCATAGACAGAGCAACCTGGTGGGTTGCAGTCCATGGGATAGCAAAAGAGTGAGAAACGACTTAGCAACTAAACAACAATAAAGCACAGATGTATAGCCTGATAGAAGGTAACCTTGACATTGCAGAACATTAACCTAGTGCTCTAATATCATTTCAGGTAACGTTTCATTTGTTGCATTTCCAGTTTCCAGCACCAGCTCACCAACAAAGATTTTACCAAAAACCTTAGGACCAATAAATGTGAATGTTGGACCCCAAATGGTAAGAAAATCATCATATTTTAGGATTTGAAACTTTGCTTAGTTTATCCTAATTTAAAGGATAGTACTAAAGATACTTGGTGAAATACTCCAGTGAATGAATACCTTATCTCAGTCACTTAATTTTTAAAGTTTTATTTTTAGTTGAGTCTAACTGGTTAGTCTTAAGAAAAAGACATTGTGCTCATCAGTGTTTAATTTTCATGTATTTTTGAATCTGGATTCTAAATGTGTTATATTAAGTTTTTTGCCCCTCTGCGAGGCTTCTCTTGTTTTCAGTTGTTTGAGCCAGTTCATTTGAAATCTGTTATGTCTTATGTTCTTCTCCTTTTTCTTTTAAAATAACCTTTACTGCATTAAATTATATACTTTAATATAAACTGATTATGACCCAACAGTTAATCTGTATCTGGAGTTACTAATTTGAAAAACTCTTTGATGAAAGGACATTTAGGAAGAAACAACTCACCAACTCATTTCAATCTTTAGCAGTAGAAATAGTGAATTTAAATGGAAAATATTTAACCATTTCTCTGAAGGTATTCCATTAATTATGCTAGAGCTTAAAGTAGACAGTGCTTTTAAGACAGCCTTATTTATAAACAGTCACATCCAACTAATGTATTAATAAAAACTATACCTAATTTAAATGGCCTCATCCACCATTAGCAAAAGTACGTAAACATTTGAACAATAATTCTTCCTTGTCAGTACTTCCATCTTCTTATCTCTAGAGCCATAAGCATGAATTTTGTTCATAATATATGGTACTGTAGGCTATGCTAAATGCACAATTACTTAGATAAAAATCTCTTTTAACATACTGAATGGCTTCAGAAAGTCTTTGAGATCTTAAGACATACTAGACATAACATTTTTCTTGATCTCTTGAGGACTGTTAATCATCTGTAGAATCCAAGCTAAAGATGTTGCCCAGTTCTGTAACTATGTGAAGAATGTCATCTAGCCCCAAGCTCATAGAAACTTTAGCTCAGGTGAGGAGCCACAATTCTAAGTAGTTCAGGGTATATTTTCAAACATTTGCTAAGCATTCAGCCCTCACCAGTCACTGCAGTTGGGTGCAAATGAGATGACACACCTGACTTGAAAGCCGATATTTTGAAAGGTGATTCTATAAACATCAGAATTAAACAAGCGTATGTGACCTTTCATGAGTTTGTCCCTTACAGTACTCCTCTGTTTTGAAAGACTGTTTCCTCTTGGTATTTCAGTGATGCTGCTAAGGCTCAAATTTGAATTCCTCTTTTGGAAACGTGATTTTCCTTCCCACTGTCAGTTTGAACTAAAGTACATATAAGCCTTTACACACTTCAGTTTTGACAGTGATACGTACTCGTGTATATGACATACTCGATTACTGCAGACCTCAGAATCAGTGATACAAAGGTCAGAAGGAGAGGAGGTTGGGGGCTCTCCTTATGAGCCAGCCCAAGACCAGTATCCCTGATTCTCAGGTACGTTTTGCAATTCTGGGTCCTCAGGCAGGAATCAGAGTTTTCTTTTTAATTTCCTAGTTTATTGTAATTTGACTTCTTAATATACTGTAGAGCCCCAGTAAGAACCATTTCTCTCTCTTCTTGTTTGTCTCTTTTGTATGTTATCCCCTAATTTTCAATCTCTTATCCATGGTTTTTAAAACTTAGAAAATTTTTAAGTAAAACTTCACCTGTTTGCCTCATACTTGCTCTTAAAATTTTTACATATCTCTTTGGAAACTAGATGTTCATGTTAGAGAGAAATTTCAAAAGTTCTCAAGAAAAAATTTATTTTCTGTGTTGATAGAAACTAGTTTAGAAGTAACTGTGACTTGGGATTCTTACTGTCTTCTTAAAGGCACCTGGTTTTATATATATATACACACACATGCACAGACACACATATATTTATATAAGATACATGATCATTTTAACATGGTTAAAAACTGCATGTCTCTTACAATGAAAATTTTGTGAAATAATGAAACCCTAACACTTTCTATTTAAATAGATTCCTTATAGTTTATAGTTATAGATTCTTTCCTTTCAGAATATACATGCTCTCTTGGCATTCCTTACTGTAGGTGGCAGTAGCACATAAGATATCTTGATTGAAGGTAGAAAATTTTCAGACTGAGGTTCAGTTGCTATATGACGTTCATAGGCTAAGTGTAAATGTTCATTTCCCTTATCAGATCAATTGAATATTATTTTAATTTGGGGCTTCAAAATTAAGGTTCCATTTTATAAAGCATGTGTGACTTATCACCTACATGAACTAATTTTCCTGTGTTCATTGGTTGGTCAGGTTCTGTTGACTTCTGTTTGGTTTTGTTTAAGGTTCACTGTCACTGTTCTGGTTTAAGAACTTACTACATCTCACAAGAACTTCTAATTTATGGATCCAGTTCAAGTCTAGCATCCTTCCAGTTTCTTTGTTCATGAAATGTTTGTTAATGACTTGCTTGCTAAGAGGAAGGAACAGAGTATTGCTAATCACTCTCAGATCAGAAAAGAATAGCAGCTAACAGCCTGACATTGAGGAAGAAAAGATGAACTGAAATATAACAACTTAGTCCAAAGTCATTCTCAATCAAGATAACCAGCTTTTCTGTGTCCTATTTCCCTTCCTCCTTTCTTCTTCTTCTTCTTTTTGTTTTTTCCTACAAAGCCCTTAAAATTAGGTAGAACTGAGCCTGTAGAGTCCTAAAGAAAAAAACTCCATTGTTTTTTTCAGATTGCACAAGTAATGCAGTCTGTTTCAGGGTAAGTTGGAATACTTAGAATTGCTTTGTGGAGACTCCTGTTCTAGGAATACAGACCAGGGGCTGATCAAATACTCAGACTATTTCTCAAGCACTCATGCTCCGGGTCAGCATAATAGAGAACAGAATGTATGATGCAGTGATTGGTGAGAACTACACCCTTTATATTGTATTTTCTTACTGGATTTTATATAATCCTTTCTAGCATATCAATGAAGAAAGAAGCTACTTTTTTTCATCATTTTAAAAGCTGGGTCTTCTGTCTCAGTTCAGTAAATGTTTACTGATTCTTTCCTATGAGTGTCTCCTAGCACTGTGGTAGGCCCTGCAAACACCCTCTACCTTTAAGGATCCTGCATTGAGATGGAGGTGAGGAGTATGGTGGTATGGAAAATGTGGAAGGCTTGGAGGTACAATCGCCTTGTCTAGTGTTCCTTTTTTCTCATGAGGCAAATTTCTGAATGCTCTGTTTAATAATCCTTGGCATATTATGAGGATCAGAATTCCCCAGCTATCTGTCAGTATTTGTTGTGTTTTGTTTGACTATAGAATTAATAAAATAGTTTCCTAATCATTTGTATGTAGTAACATCTCCCCAGACCCACTAATACTCCCATTCCCTGGAGCATGCCTTTATTTTATTTACTGTTTTGTGTGTGTGTGTGTGTGAAAATAGGGTTTTAGTAAAGTCTTTAATCTTAGTTCTATTCATTCCCTTTCTGGAATCTGTCCATAGGAAATTAAAGCCAAGATAATTTTACAAAAAGGTTTATCACAGCATTATTTATAATATTGAATATTTGTAAAAATCTAATAATAAGGCATAATTAATCCATATAACAGAATGTTTTATGGTCTTTAAAATGTGTTTGAAGAATATTTAATGATATGAGGAAATGCTCTTTAAAAAAAGAAACAGATAAAACTGCATCTATATAAGAATCCAAATTGTGTAATGTCTTTGCATATGTTTTGGACTGTGAAAATCTAATTTGCTGCTATCCCAGTTCTAGTTAATCAAGTTCAACTAAAATTAGTTTCCATAATTCTAAAGAAAGGTTTTTGTTTTTCTGATTTTTAAAATGTTGTCAGTCGCCAGCTTAATCCTTCCCAATTGCTGTTCACTTGCTGAAATCCACAGGGTGCTTTGTATCAGTGTTGATACTTGTGCTTCAAGATCTTAGAATATACAGTGGGTCAAAGGTATTGCTTATATTTTAGATGATTGATATTAAGGACATTTTAGATAATAGGATTTCCTCCTGCCTGTAGGCTTACCTTAACAACTAAGAATATTTTTCTGTGTTTTGACTTTACAGATCATAAGCACACCACAGAGACTAACCAGTTCAGGAAGTGTTCTGATTGGGAGTCCATACACCCCGGCACCAGCAATGGTTACTCAGACACACATAGCAGAAGCCACTGGCTGGGTCCCAGGGTAAGAGGACTACTGCAAGTTACCGTTTTTAAAACCTTTTTTTTTTTAAGTTCTGATCTTCTTTTGCTTACTGTCTTATCTTCTGTTCTTTTTTTATGGTTTTAAAAACTAGTATGTTTCCTTTAAGATCACCTGTTTGTTTCGTTTTATGTCCTAGGTATAAAATGGGTATCTAGGATATAAAATGGGCATCCAGGATATATCCTCTAGATCTTGGTTCCCTAACTAAGGGATTAGGATCCCTAATCCTAACTAGGGATTGAACCCTTGTCCTTTACAGTGGAAGCATAGAGTCTTAACCACTGAACCACCAGGGCATTCCCTGGAACAACCATTTTAAACAGAAAAATAAAACAATAACTTATAACTGAAACTTCTTTCTTCAGCTCTGAAAGAAGGCTGCTTTTTATGATTTTGACTTTTAGCTACTTTGGAGATGTAAAAACTGCATTTTATATTGTTTTAACAACATAAGAAAGGAGTTATGTATATGTGTGTGTGCGCTTAGATTTTCCCTTTGAAACTAGCATTTTTGTTTCATTTAAAACCAGAAAAAGAACTAGGGAAAAAAAGAGACCAAAATATATTAAAAGTTTCATTGAGTTTTATCTTGGACACTAGGCTATTAAATCAGTATCCCTTCTTCGTTACTCATTTGCCACTTTTAATATCAAATCTCTGCATGTTCCATCTTTACCTGTGAAATAACCTTATTCAACCCTTCTCCCCTCCTTATCATTTTATCATCTCATCCCTCCATAAAAGGAAATAGTAAAATAAGTGACTGAAAATTTTATTTTGTCCCTTTAGAAATTATTTCCAAAATGGCATACCACACTGATGGTTCTGTCATTGACTTACAGTTTTGAATTCTAATAAGCAAACAGTAAATCTTGGTTCAATAAGAATCTCCTTGCTTAAAGGATATTAAAGAAATGAATGAAATAACAATCCTGGCAAAGTCCTTTAAGTTACACACACACACACACACACACACACTAGAGACAAAAGAGTTTTGTGTGTGTGTGTGTGCTTAGTCATGTCTGACTCTTTGTGACCCTGTGGACTGTACCCTGCAAGGCTCTTCTGTCCATGGAATTCTCTAGAATTCAAGAATACGGGAGTGGGTTGCCATTTCCTTCTCCAGGGGATATTCCCTACCCATTGCGTCTCTGCATTGGCAGGCAGATTCTTTCCTCCTAGCACCACTTGGGACATCGCTTCATGTGTATACATAATGTCTTTTCCATTATCAAGTAAGATGAAGTGACAGAATCACCTGTAATTCCATGGCCTTTCAGTTCAGTTCAGTCACTCAGTCACGTCTGACTCTGCGACCCCATGGACTGCAGCATGCCGGGCTTCCTGTCCATCACCAACTCCCAAAGCTTGCTCAAACTCATGTTGATCGAGTCAGTGATGCCATCCAACCATCTCATCCTCCGTTGTCCCCTTCTCCTCCTGCCTTCAGTCTTTACCAGCATCAGGGTCTTTTCCAATGAGTCAGTTCTTTGCATCAAGTGGTCCAAGTATTGGAGTTTCAGCTTCAGCATCAGTCCTTCCAATGAATATTCAGGACTGATTTCCTTCAGGATGGACTGGTTTGATCTCCTTGCAGTCCAAGGGACTCTCAAGAGTCTTTTCCAACACCGTAGTACAAAAGCATCAATTCTTTAGCACTCAGCTTTCTTTATAGTCGAACTTTCACATCCATACATGACTACTGGAAAAACCATAGCTTTGACTAGACGGACCTTTGTCAGCAAAGTAATTTCTCTGCTTTTTAATATGCTGTCTAGGTTAGTCATAGCTTTTCTTCCAAGGAGCAAGCGTCTTTGAATTTCATGGCTGCAATCACCATCTGCAGTGATTTTGGAGCCCAAGAAAGGTCCATCACTGTTTCCATTGTTTCTCCATCTATTTGGCATGAAGTGATGGGATGCCATGATCTTTGTTTTTTGAATGTTGAGTTTTAAGCCAGCTTTTTCACTCTCTTCTTTCACTTTCATCAAGAGGCTCTTTATTCCATCCTTAACAATATCTTGTTAAGTCCATAACAATATGTGTTAACACATAACATCATGTGTGTGTGCACACACACATAGAAACAGTATCATGTTAAGTCCATAATAATAATAATACCATGACCTTCATTCAGTCCTTAACAATATCCTCATATAGATCTGCAAGTTAGGCTGGAGTTTTTTGTACCCTTGGAAGATAATTTAATGAAAGCCAAGTCTGAGCCAGTAATGCTGGCCTGCCTTGGAGATGACCAGGGTTTTGCTGTTTTCAATAACTAGCTGTGCTTTATACTGCATGTAGTATGATTATCTAATGTTTTTAAGAATCAGTCATCCCAGAGTGAATAAAGCTTTTCTGTGCCTTTTCGTTTATTGTTGTTGTTTCATTGGTAGACACACAAGTCATGTCTGATTCTTTGTGACTCCATGTACTGTAGCCCACCAGGCTCCTCTGTCCATGAGATTTTCCAGGCTAGAATACTGGAGTGAGTTGCCATTTCCTTCTCCAGGGGATCTTCCTCACCCAGAGACTGAACCTGTGTCTCCTGCAGGAAAGCCCTTCTCATTTATAAATCTGTAGTATTTCTTCCTAGAGATTCGTTGAGCTCATTTCAAACCTATGACTGTTGTGATTTCTTGGGTCCAGTGACAAAATTTAAGTTCTGATTTTATGTACATATCTTTTGTAATTGTTAGTTTTGTGTTTGGATATATATTCAAAGTGGAATTAGATAAGTTAAAGTAAATTATTCATGAAGTAAAGTTCCTTATGCATTTTCATGTGTTTTTTTTTCTTTTCAGTGATAGAAAACGGGCTAGAGAATTTATAGACTCTGATTTTTCAGAAAGGTGAGTAAAAGTTTTAAGTAATTTGTTCAAGAGATTCTACTGCATAGAGAGGGGTTTAACACCCAGACTCTTAAGTAATGAGATGTTTTCTTCATATAACTAAGTTCGTTAAGTTCCAACTTATTTCATTCCTCATTGAGTATTCTGCTTCACTCATCATTGCATAAATGTGTTATGTTTATGCAGTTTCAAAAGATACTGTTCTGTGACGGGCTCTTGGCAGCATGCTGTTTAGTGCACTCCCTCCTTTGGGGAGATGAAGTGTTCTGCTAACGTGACTATTCTTGATTACCTCAAAATACACAAACTTTAAAAACAAATTTTACTGAACACATTTAAAGATGATGGTAAATCCTCACTTGTTTTTTTTTTTAACCTTTCAGTTCTGTTGAGATATAATTAACATACAGCCCTGTATAAGTTTAAGGTAATACAGCACAATAATTTGATTTGTTAATATGTACATCATGAAGCAGTTATCACAGTAAGTTTAGTGAACCATCTCATATAGATATAAAATAAAAGAAGTAAGTAAAAACTTTTCTTGTGACAAGAACTCTTAGGATTTACTCTCTTAACAACTTTCATATATAACATACAGGGCTTCCCAGGTGGTGCAGTTGGTCAAGAACCCACCTGCCAGTGTAGGAGACACACAAAATGAGGGTTTGATCCCTGGGTTGGGAAGATCCCCTGGAGGAGGAAGTGGCCTCCCACTCCAATACTCTTACCCTGGAAAATCCCATGGATTGAAGAGCCTGGTGGGCTACAGTCCATGGGATCACTAAGAGTTGGACACGACTGAGTGCACATGCACACACACACATAGAAAATACAGTAGTGTTAATTTACCATGTTGTACATTACATCTCCTTTCTTAAAGAATACAAGTGTAGTATAATCTTTCCTTAGACTGTTAGGACAGTGATTCTCAGTTCTAGGTGTGCAGCAGAATCACGTTTGGTCTGTTGAATAAGCTATAATTGCTTACTAAATCAGAAACTCCAGGATTGAAAACTTATCACTTTAGGATCATTATAACTCCGTATTTCACCCAAGTCACTATACTAAGCATCATATTAATGTCACATTAAACTAAAATAAAACATAATCTCAGAGGCTATTTAGATAAAACCTTGCCAGCAACACTTTCTAGATTGATTCTGAGTTTTTTTAATTGCTTTTTTTCAGCAATGTTTTAGTCTCCTCCTGTTAGGTCATCTGCTTCCAACACAGTTTTCTGTCTTTTCCAGTTTCTAGTTGCTACCTCTGATTTGCTGTACACTGAGAAACTACTTGGCCAAATGCGTTAGAATCCCATCTAAAATAAAAGTGAATGGGCCCCAACTGAAGACCTTGAGGCTGTATTAAAAAAATGTTTGTTTTCTTGCATGACACTAGTTCTGCTTTAGTTCCTTGGTGACCTTTATTGTTGTTCTCAGATCTTAACTCCTTTGAACAGATAAAATCATATCTGAGAAGCTGCTGTATTACATAGAACTAAATGGTGAGATGGTCTTTTCTCTCCAATGGGAATTCGTTTTTCCAGCTCATACTGTTTCTTCCTCATGTTTATACTGGGAAAAGGCAGCAGTACAACTTTTTAACCACGTATTTGGCAGTGTGTACGGCCCTAAAATGGAACTGTTCACTTGTTATGATTGACATCACCTGTGTATGCAAAAATACAAAAAAGCAAGATTATTTTTATTCTTCATAAGAGAGAAAATTCTAAAGATAGCATATAGAAGTGCCAGATTAGGTTTGTTGGTATAGCCATTGACTTGACTTTGCTTTTCTGCATTTGCTTCATTGACCTTTTTTCCTAGTGCTTTCTATTACTCTCTTTTTATTCTTTAATATAACTTTTCTGTATTGAATCCCATCCCCCTCCCTAACCAAACCACCAGAATGACTACATGTGGTTTTCTTCTTGTGTTGTTGTTCTTACACATGTTCTTTTCCTCCAGATTAATGTGTTTTTCTATAATGCTGTAAAAAGTCTCGGGTTCCCTTTTCCCCAGTTCAAAAAGCCAGCTCTCAACCACAAACTAATCTGCTTAACTTCTTCATTGTCTCTTTAGTGATTTAATATCTCTATAGTGATTAAATATAGTAAGTATTTTTGTTAGTGTTCCTTGGGGACATAGATTTATATACATAATACACATGCATACTCCCACATAATGTATACTGTATAAGGTTTTTGTCCTCATTTGACCACTTGACAGTACAACTTGAAGTGTGTTTTACACAGCTCTTCCTTTGCTGAGCTCCTTTTTAAGACCAAGTCACTTTCTGAAGAAATTTTGTTGGTGTGTAAAGGATCCATTGAGGGATTCTCGTTAGTTTTTTCTTTGTGTTCTGATCCACTGAACTTCTTTGGAAAGAGGTTGTGGAAATTGCTTTGAAAGCCCCCTTTCTGGTCTCGCCTGGAGTTTTGATCCTGAAAGATGTTTGTTCCCTTTTGTCTTTTTTCGTTTGGACAGTCTGGTGGTTTCTTACAAATGCATCTCTTCCAAATGGGAAGTATCCTATTTGAGAGTTCCCTTGGGGGAAGAAAGGTCCTGGGTGTCTGACAGGCAGCGGCAGTAGCCTCTATGTGTTTTACTTTATTCCTGTCTTAAAAGAATAGGATTTAGCACAGTGGTGTTTTTCTCTTCCTTTGTGCTCATGTACTCTTCATATATATATTTTTTATTCTGTTGGAATATAGTTAAAACTTTTATTTACAATAAACTAATACAATTTAAACTATAATAAGCTAATAATAAAAATCAATATAATTAATATCTGTACTGCTTTGATGATGTTTATGAAGTTGTCTATTTATTCAAAAATGTTTTGAATATCTGCTAAGTGTTGGTAAGTTCTAGGCATGGATGAAAATAATAAGCAAGATAGATAAGTCTCTACCCTTGAAGAGCTTATATTTGGGGAGGGGGTGCAATAAAGAAGTAAGATAACTAGATTGTGATAGGTGGTATGCAAAAAACTAAGAAGGATGATTTGTAGATAATTGGAAGGATGGTGACTACCTTAGAAAGGTCTCTCTAAGGGGTGATGTTTGAATACAAGGAAGACTGGCTAGTTCCTTGAGGAGCTTGGGGTTCTAGGCATAGGGAATGGCAAATGCAGTGCTCCTAAGTGAGGAACCAGGTTGTGACACTCAGGGAAGCACAGTGGCTTGGAGATCACGAGCAAGTCAGAGAGACATGAGATGAGGATGGAGAGGTAGATACAGGTCAGCGTATGAAAGACCTTGTAAGTCATGGTAGAGAATTTGGTTTTTATTCTAAACAGTATTTTAAGCAGGAAAGTAATGTGATCTGATTTATACTGACTGCTGAGAGGGATCTGGACTCTAAGGAGATAAGAGCAAAAGTGGAGAAATCAGTTAGAAGGCAGGAGGCAGTGACCTGACAGTGGAGATGGGGGAAAAATGGGTAAATTTTGGAATTTGGAAACAGAATTTATTGATGGATTGAATGAAGGAAAGAGAGAAATAAAGGATGACTTGATTTTTTGCAGTAAGAACTGGGTGAATACTGGTGCCATTAGCATTTAGGAACAGGTTTAGGAATAGGAATAGTTAGGAATAATAATAGGAATAGTTAGGAATATTAATAGGAATAGTTAGGAATAGGTTTGGGGAGGAATTGAGTTTTGTTCTGGACACATGAAGTTTGAGAGGTTTTTCAGTTTTCTATGTGATGTATCAGTAGTATCAATTAGTGTATCAATAGTATCCTCAGCTTGGATGAGGCCAGCCCAGGCCTGGATGACATAATGCAAGGTAGAGAAAGTGAAGATCTGTAAATAATAAACATTTCTTTCCCATTTCCCCTCTCCCTCACACAGTGGATATAAATACATAGGAAAATGGGATTTGGGTTGGATTTTTTTTCCCCTAAATTATGTTACTAAATTACTTTGCTGATTTAAATATTCTGGTTAACTTACTTTAATGAGAAAGGAAGTTTTTATTGTGTATTGTATATAATCTCTTGTTTAAATGGGATACACTTATTAGTGTACACCTGGAATATACTGTTATACTACAGATTTTAGTTTTACATTACTTTTGTAAATAAATATAAATTATTATGGCAAAATATAAAAAGACAGTGATTGTTGATTCTAGTTAAGTGTCTGGAAAGATTAATACTCTTGGAAACAGTTCTTTTAAATACTTAAAATGAAATGTGAGTATGAAATTAAGAAGACCTCAAATAAAATAAAATATAACTTGCTTTTCAGACTTTTAGATTGGTAATTTTATTTTCTTAAATATTAAAAACATTTTAAATTTAGTAATTTGGTTTTATTTGACAAGGAATGCTTCCTACTGGTTCTTTTTTTTTTTTTTTTATAAGAGACTAATAGAGATGACAGTGTTTACGGCCTGTGACCAAATTTTCATGTTATTTGGAAAGAGGGTTTGGGTGATTCAAAGAGCTCAGGTTTGAGAAAATATGTAAACTCTACTTTCTGAGATTTCGAGGGAATTCCCTGGTGGCCCAGCAGTTGGGGCTGTGTGCTCTCACTGTCAAGGGCCCAGGTGTGATCTTTGGTTGGAAACTAAAATCTCAAAAGCTATACAGCACAACCAAAAGTAAATAAATAAAACTGGCCCACTTAAAAAAAATTTTTAGATAGGGAGCTTCCAGTTTGAGATGATGGATTGAATAACCATTTTTAATCTCCATCTCGTAAGATCCTATTGAAATTTTTTGTGTATTAAAAAAAAAAGGAAATCTCTTAAATTGCTGTAAAACATGATAGAGATGTAGGTTTCTCCAAGGATTAGGAGATGAAGGCTGGTGTGATTATAAAGATGACAAGTGAAAGTGGACAAACCCATGTCCCAAAATACGCATAGGAGAAGTCAGATAGGGAAACGGAAGCTTTTTTCACTTGCACTGACGTGGTGAGGTCCCAGGCCCAGAGTTGAGAGGTCTAAAAAGTGAAAATAAATTGGTGGGGGAAGGACTGAGGAC